ATCTTTACATGTATGTGTATACTTTTGACTCCTGGTATGGTGCTGTAGGATCAGCATTGGACTGCGAAACACAAGCTCAGCTCTTCAAACCCACCTCCTCAGAATCCTCCTCAGAATCCACACACAGGGTCACTATTGGTTGAATCATCTCAACAGTACTTAACCACAGCAATATTTATAGATGGACTCCTTGAGTGGCACTGTAGGATAAGTACTGCACTGCAAACCACAAGGTCAGCGGTTCAAACCCAACAGCTGCTCCTCAGAAACCCTGTACAGTGTTGCTATGATTCAGAATCAACTCAATGGCACTTAACAATAACAACATGAATAATCTGAGGTTGAAAGAGTTTGGCTCAACTATGCCAATGTAGGCTAAATATTAGAATACAATGGTTCTGTAGAATAAGCATTAGACTATGAACCACAAGGTTTGCTGTTGACTCAATAACATTTAACAATAACAACAAATATGTTATTGTTGTTATGTGCTGTTGAGTTGATGCCGACCCATAGTGAGCCTGTATAGGATTTCAGAAAAGTGGCTGGTGGGTTTGACCCACTGAACTTGTGGTTCAAACTAACCATGTTGTCCAGTGTATTATCCTGCAGCACCATATAAAGAACTAACTCACTTTCTCTCTCTCTCTCTATATATATATATAAATATATATATGTACGTGTGTGTGTATTGTTGTTAAGTACCGTGGAGTCGGTTCTGACTCACAGTGACCCTGCACAAGGTTTCTGAGGCTGTAAATCTTTTTGCAAGCAGAAAGCCTCATCTTTCTCCCATGGAACAGCTGGTAGTTTCGAATTGCTGACTGTGAGGTTAGCAGCCCGATTCGTAACCACTACGCTACCAGAGCTCCTTACAGCAAGGATGGCAGGCTTTAAATTCAACTGAAGTTGTGCATTTTTGTTACTACAGCAGTGTGAACTGAGATCACGTCCTTCTCTAAAAGCAAATATATACATTGTTGTTGAGTGTTGTTAACTGAAATCGTGTCTATGTCTAAAAAATGAACATATATATTGTTGTTAAGTGTCGTCAAGTCAGTTACGATTGATAGCCACCCTGTAGAGTATACATATGATGCAGCTGTGGGATAATGCCCTGGATCCCATGGTCTCCTTCAACTATAAGGTCAGCAGTTCAAATTCACCAGCCGCTCCTCGGAAACCCTCTACAGGGTCGCTATGAATCATAACCGACTCGACAACACTTAACAAGAAAATAAAAAACAAACAAACATATATATATAGTTGTTCTTAAGTGCCATCGAGTTGATTCCGACCAATAGCGACCCTGTACCCTGTAGAGGGTTTCCGAGGAGCGGCTGGTGAGCTTGAACCACTGACCTTGCAGTTCAAAAAACTTTGCAGTCTGACACATTAGCTTAGCACACAGCACCACACCAGGACTTGTGTGTGTGTGTGTGTGTGTATATATAGATATATAAATATATATATATATATTCACTTATATTTCATTTCCATAACTTTCAGCCTTCCTTTTCTTCTTGATTCCTCCAGGCAGGAAGCTGGTACAGAATTGAAGACAGAGAATATTTCCACTTTCACTGTAACTCTGGTAGTGTAGTGGTTACAAGTTGGGCTACTAATCTCAAGGTCAACAGTTTGAAACTTCTAGCGGTGGCCCGGGAGAAAGATGAGGCTTTCTTCTCCCATAATATTTGCACCTCAGAAACCCTATCCAGGGTCGCTGTGAATCAGACTCAACTCCAAGGCACATAACCACCACTGCAGTAATCATGGTGTGGTGTGGCAGGATAATGCGCTGGACTGCAGTGTCTGTTTGAGTTGCAAGGTTGGTGGCTCACACCCACCAGTAGTTCCTCAGAAACCTACACAGAGTTGCTAAGGAGTCAGAACTGACTCTGATTAGATGGTGCTTAACAGCAGGAGTCATGGTGTGGCGCTGCAGGATAATGCAGTGGACTGCAAGGTCAGTTTGAACCACAAATTTTTTGGTTCAAATTCACCAGCCACTCCTTACAAACCTTATACAGGGTCACTATGAGCTGAAACCGACTCTATGGCACTTAACAACAACATAGTAGCCAGTTAGGTGGGCTTAGACTATGCTTAAACCAACTGTTTAGAGTCATTTTTTGTACACTCTGGTGGATTCTTTGGTGTTTTTTCCATATGATTGGGATTTCTTAACCTACAATATTCTTGAAGTAGAAAATGCATCTTTATTTAGGATTCCTGCTTCAGTCCCTGAGCATGAATCACTACAGCTTTAGCTCTTTTCATCTTTTGTCTTCACCAGTTGTTTTCATCAGTTGTCCTCACCGCTATTCAGACTCTCAATGACCCTTTTAAAAGGGGTTTATCACAAATCAGGAGTCCTGGTGTGGCACTGTAGTTTGAGGACTTTACTGCTAACCACAAGGTTGGCAGCTCAAACCCACTAGATGCTCCTTGGAAACCCTATATAGAGTTGCTATGAGTTGAAACCTTGAGAGGTTTCTACTATGACCAAGCAGGATTCAAGGTCATGTCATGCTCCATGTTTAGCAAGAACAGCAAAACACGGAGCAAAGAACAGCTAGGTTTACATTTGCCAACTGCAGCTAAAGAATGACCTAATCTACTAAAACACAGCCTTGTATAATTAAGAATACAGACTCTGGATCCAGACCACCTGGGTTCAAATCCCAGCTACTTTCTTTCTAACTATGTAATCTTTTTCAAGTCGATTCCTTATTTTGTGCCTCCGTTGTCTCATCTTTAAAATGTAGATCAAATAGCACCTCCCTCATGGACTTTTAATGAGCTCTGGTAGTGTAGTGGTTGCAAATACGGCTGTGAACCACACCGTCAACAATTCGAAACTAACAGCTGTTCTGTGGGAGATAGTTGAGGCCTTCTGCTCCCATAAAGATTCACAGCCTCGGAAACCCTGTACAGGGTCGTTATGAGTCGGAATCGACTCCATGGCACAACACCAACACCAACACCATGGACTTTTATGAGCAATGTCACAGTTTGTATTTGTAAAGTGATTAGACCCAGATAGGTGTTTGTTAAATACAAATCCCTTATCATGGTTCTTAAATGAGATCCTTATAAATTTCCTGTGGAATTATACTATATATGTGTTAGAAAGATATATACTATGTTAAATAATCTTTGGAAAATGAGATAATAGGAATTCTACCAAAATAAAGAAATAATAAGTTTACAGAAACCTGTGATAAAAAAAAAAAAAATCCAGTGAGTATATAATAACATTTCAGATTTATTGGAGTCGTACTGTTTATCACCTAAACCATTCTACAAAATAAACACTCAAAAAAACTTCAACTCTCTTACAAAACTATGTATTTAAAAGTCTGGATCATATGACAAGTGTGATAGAAAATAAAAATACATACAAAAGATACTATGCTGAAAGTCTATGTATTATTAAATCTGCTCTACCAATTAAATTCCAAGTTTCTTAACAGCCCTAGTTAGAAAGGATATATGCTTTCTTTAAAATGACATAGCCTATCAAATTAAATACAATTCAAAACAAAAGTTTAAAAATAATATGAAATTCTTATAAGGACGAGCAATTTTATTATTTTTTTTAAGTTTTTATTGTGAGATTTCTTGGACATTACTACCGGTTGCTATCAAGTTGATTCCAACATCTGATGACCCCATGTGTGTCAGAGTAGAACTGTTTTCCAGAGGTTTTCAATGACCTATTTTTCAGAAATAATTAAGACCCTGGAAGGATGGGGGTGGGGATCTCTTTAGAAAATGGATCTTTAACAATGTAGTAAATAACAATGTCAACATTGCCCTTTGTGCAGATTGTGTAAGATTATTTTATAAGAACGTTCAATGGAACCTGATGCCATGCCCTTGCTGTCTAATTCAATCATGAGAATCCAGCAAGAGGTCAAGAGAATTTGGTCCAAACCTTCGGGTTTCTGATATTCATATTCAATATTTCTACAGGAATGGATAGACTATATATCCCTTAAACTCCCTGCCCCCATGCCGTTCATCCCAGCTGAGGTTTGATGAAAGGTGAGCAGCAGACAGCTTGAGGTTATATACTCTGACAAGGGCCTGCAGTGCAAGTATTCTATGCTACTGATTAAGGGCACATCCACATGCTTTCAAAATCTACTGAGCTCGTGGTAGAGTTGACAGTCCTGCTGTTTGAGAATGCTTCTCACAGCCAAAGGACATGTTTCCCTTTGCTGTCTTGGACTATGAAATTTTAAAGTTAACAGTAACAACTTTGCACACAAAATGCTTTGCCACACTGCTTGGCTTAACTCAGAGAGGGGTAAATTTTTAGATGACCACGTCTTAGCTTCTTATTACCTTTGACATAATCTAAGATTGAGGAAACTGAACTTTAGTTCTAGCACATCACTGGGAAATTGTGTGACCTTAAGTCATTACATCTCCCTGTGTCATAGTGAAATAAGTTTCAGTCTCTTAGCATTTGATGGTACTGTGAAACTGCCCTTATTAAATGCCTGATCGTACATCCATACTCTTTAGAAAGATTTTTATATATTTGCAAGCATTTATCACTTGGCTCTAAACAGACTTTGTTGCTCTGATTTCACCACTTATTAGAAGGAGGGGTTTCAAGTCTCTTTTTTCTTGTGAGATGGAAAGAGTGGATTAAAGAAACTGTTAAAGGATATGAAAGGATACCCTTTCATGCCAGCAGCTGTGCATGTTTTCTAAGGCAACCTCTGGGAAGAATGCAGCTCAATTCCCTTGAAAGTGTGCCCTTTGGAATATCAATTATCCATGAAAGAGATGTCTGAGATTTCCCCAAATGTCAAGAATCTTGCTTGTACTGTATGCAGTCTTTTGGAAGTAAAATGGGAGGAAACCAACTGTTTCTGGAAGCATGCTCTTGAGCTCTGTATGTAATTCTTATTGAATCTTGATTTATTAGTACAATTTAGCACAAATCCCTTTTTTTTTTTTTTTTACCTCTTTCCTTCCAGCATCAAGGAAAAATTGGAGTTAAATTTAATGTTGGGACAGATGACATCGCCATCGAAGAATCCAATGCAATCATTAACGATGGGAAATACCATGTAGTACGTTTCACGAGGAGCGGTGGCAATGCCACTTTACAGGTGGACAGCTGGCCAGTAATCGAGCGATACCCTGCAGGTAAGCCAGTGAATGTGTATCCGGGGCAGATTTTCTGGAAAACAAAACACTGTTTTGCGTCCGTTTCACCAAATTGTGGTTTTTCTGAGAACCCATCAAGTATATATATTGGACTTTAAGTCAAGTGACTGTAATGCTGTCCTAAACTGTTCTTGATACAGTGTGTAAGTGGCATTTGATAGGAGAACTTGAAGGCACACGTTATCGTTTGCAAAATTCAGGACATCAGCGAAACCTGAAAAATGCACACATAAAAGGTACAACATGTCAAAGCTCTTTTTACTGGATCCTTATATTTGAACAAAGGAAAGGCTTTGTCAAAAGTAACAATGTTAAAATTTAAAGCTAAGGGAGGGACTATTTATAAAGCTTTTCTATGAGAGAAAAATCTGAATAGTTTGGCAGTGGCACACAGCTGAAAGTAATAAAATGTGCACGAGGGGAATGAGGCAAGCAGAGAGATCGGAAAGGAACTAGCGTTTTGTTGATTTGTAGTTATAAAAATATGTATGTGAATTAAATCGAGTTTGTTGTCACTATCATAATGCCATGTACATTCACAAGGATTCTGTGACACTAGTGTTACTCATTTCAAGTCTATAAAAATGATCATTAAGCCATTTAGTCATAAAATAAACATGATCTTATCGTGTGAGCTTTGTCAGTGCTATGTTGTTACAACAAAAGCAGTAGATTAGGAAGATAAACCACAGCTACCTGTGGTTTCATATATTCTCAATTTAAAAACAATACATTTTAAAGTAAAATACAAATTTGAAATATAGAAGTATTTCACTGCAATTCTTTATCCTTACTTATTTTATTTCTAAATATTTGCTCAAAACTTTCAGATTTCTTTGCTCCCATTTTAGATACTATAATGTTTTTAATACAGTAGGTGTATAGCACAGCATAAAGGAAAAGTATAAAACTAAATTATCCTTCATTTTACACAAAATGATTAGTAAACATATATAAAATATATAAACTCCTTGCATTGTAATTCTCTTTTTATTCATTGGAAGAAATAATTTGATGTAATAACTAAGTTTATTAAGTAAATACCACTGTTCGTTTTAGTACTGACTCACAATTAAGGAATCAAGTAGCTACGATGTTCTTCTGAACATTTTCTGATTTATAAAATTCCACCTCTTCAAACCTCAGTTCAAAACTAGCCTATAATCCTGGCGTTCTGCAAATATTTGTTGAATTAAATGGAATTTTTTAAAAATTACAAAAATCTGTTCTAGGACAAAATTCAGAAGAAAGCAAATTTATAATATGTGGAATACATATTATAATATTGGCGAATAAGTGTGGTGGTTGTGGTTATGTGCCGTGGAGTAGGTTCTGACTCATAGCGAACCTGCACAGGGCTTCCAAGGCTGTAAATCTTTACGGGAGCAGAAAGCCTCATCTTTCTCCTGTGGAACAGCTGATAGTTTCAAACTGCCATATTTGCTAAATCTATGCCCTGGAAATCTACACCAGTTTACACTATAATTGTGAGGACATACACTTTTAATTAAGAGGAAAAACAGAAAAGTTGGCGAGAAAGTATCAGTACATGGATAGAATGTTATTAATACCTTATTGTATTCAATGAAATCCTAGTTGAAATGTATTTTTTTATATATATAATAGCTAAAACCTTACAGGAAAAAAAATTAGTAAATTTTCTAAAATAAGAATGAATCAGTACCCATTTACTAACAGGAAGCCATTGCCCTGAGGCTATGAAACACATAAGGCAATAAGTGTTTCTCGAAGCCTAACTTTGTTGCAACAGTTAAGTCTTTAAATTATCTTAATTTAGTAGTTTTTCACTTTTATCATTTTTTAAATCTTATCTTGTTAACAGCTATTCTCTAGAGGTTATTAATGGTTATTAATGGTGACCTGTGGAGGCCTAGTGTGACACTGTGGGTTAATGCTCTGGATTACAAAATCGGTGGTTCAAGCTCACCAGCTGCTCCTTGGAAACCGTACACAGGGTCACTATGAGTCACAGACTCGACAGCACTTAACAACAACAACAACTATGGAGAATGGGGAGTTCTTGTGTGATGCTATAGGATAAACACTAGATAGCTAACCAAAAGGTCAGTGGTTCAAACCCACCCACCACTACTAGGAAACCTTATACAGGGTTGCTATGAGTCAGCGCTGACTCAGTCACTCTTAACAACAACAATATGGAGGGTTGAGTTCTAGGCTCAAGTTATTTTGGGAAATTCTGAGCTAAATATAACTGCCTTTGGACTTAATTATAATGCATTGTTATTATTGTTGTGGTTAGGTGCTATTGAGTTGTTTCTGACTCATAGTGAGCCTGCATAGCGTTTCCAAAGAGCCATTTGTATGTTTGAACCTCCAATCTTGGGATTTGAACTGACTTTGCAATCCAGTGCTTATCCTACATTGCCATACCAAGATGTCTTATAATGCAAAGTGTATCTTTAAAAGAGAAACATACTATATATTTCCTAAGCATTTAAAAAATATTTCCTAATACTTTTTTACATTTCTGCATTCCACTATTTTAACATATTTTATAGATATCATATACTGAGTATATTGTTGTTCTTGTTAAGTGGTGTTGAGTCAATTTTGACTCATCCTGACCCTGCATAGGGTTTCCAAGGAGCAGCTGGTAGATTTGAACCACTGACCTTGTGATTTGCAGTCCAGTGCTTATCCTAAATCAACACAACAGCTCATCAAAAAAGACAGTGCTCTGTCTTCTTATGGCATGCTGATATGTAGTTTGATTACCAGTAGCTGAGAATACACATTATTTAAGAAAAGACTAGCATTTACTTGGAGTCCTGATGTAGGGCTATAGAATAAGCACTGGGCCACAATGTTGATTTGAGCGGCAAGACTGGCAATTCAAATCTACCAGCCGCTCCTCAGAAATCCAGGGGTCCCTATGAGTCAGAACTGATTCGATGGCACTTAACAACAACAAGTATTTACTTAACATGTGCAATGTTTTAGTTACCAATTAAATGGAACATGATGTACAATATAAAATATATTTAAAAATGGAAACATTTAATGTCATAACAATTAGCATGGCTATTTTTGGTATTATAGATATGTATATTTTAGATGTTCTGTTAGGAAATAGTCTTTCACCAAGAAATATTTTAGATAATATCAATAAATCAGAAACACAGAATTGCTATGATTTTGAAGGATATAAGCAATGGGAAAGCAGTGCGTCTGATCTCAAGAATATTAGAGCGCATGTGAAGAATTTTGATACAAATACATAAAAAGTTAATGTTCAATATGTAAAGAACTCAGGGGAGTCACGATTGTTGTCATCAAATGTTTTATTAATCATCCATTCTGTATGCATTTCAGCCTGATGCTGATGGAGAAAATAAGTCATGAAAATTTCAAATACCATTTTCTCTCAGAGCTTCATCTAAAACAGTAACATAAAGGCTGAATACAGATTTGGAACTATGTATCATTTAGATTAAGGTTTTTAGAACAAAGTGATTTTAAATATGAGTTCAGTAACAAAGTCTATTACATCTTTCCCCTCCCCCACGGGTTTATTATACTATGACTCTTTTGGGCTCTTGAATAAGCACTAGACTGCTAACCACAAAGTTGGTGGTTCAAACCCACCAGCTGCTCCTTGGACACACTGTACAGGATCACTATGTGTTGCAATTGACTTGATGGCACTCATCAACAACAGCATTGTTTATTTATTTATTGTTATTAATTAGAAAAGCAGCTGGACTAATGCTCTTACCATCATGTCCTGTAGTTAGAGAAGCAGGACTCAACAGACTATATTTGCACGGCAAAATATAGGTAATAAGGGTTGAAATTAGTAATTAAGTGTAGCACTTAACCTTCCATTATAGGACTTTGTGGAAAGTGCTTTTATATAAAGCAATTCATTTGGTAGCAACACTAGTCTTTTAATGAAATTCAACTAAAGCATTGACCACTGGTATTACCCATAATTATCCGGAAGGCTTTCATAGAGAAATTCATTAGTAGAGGTAGATTTTATATTCCTTTGGAGTATATGAAATATTCCTATATCTCAACAATCCATGTTTTAGAACAAATATTGAATTTTGGAATAATAGGACCAGTATTCATTATTATCTGTACATGGAGCAAAGTGCAGAAATAAGAGGAGGGTGGGGAGTTGATTCAAAAAGTGCCTGGAAAAATTCCATTATCTTTTCATTCCATTTTTCCATGAACTTTTGAAACCTCTCATAATATGTTGCAAATCATTTAAAGTTAATAAAATAATTTCTTAGTACTTATAAATTAAGCTCTAGAATATAATGCATCATTAATCTCTGATTTGCTCCTAATTACAGTTATGTAGCAAAATTTTCTTGCAACAAAAATAGATTCTCTTCTTTAACATTTATCCACAAATCCTAACATCATCTTGCTTGCCCTGCTTAAACACTGTTCCAGATAAATCACAATTACCTTTGAGGATAAACTGGAATTTACTTGCTAGAAGAATGTGTCAAAATATGCTCTTTATATTCTATGCTAGGTATAATATTCATTTTATTCCCATAAGTTAGCATATCCAATCAACAAATATTTAGATCATGTGTTCTATATTAAAGGCGTGCTAGTGTGGTGCTATGTCATCAGCACTGAATTGTTAACCTCAAGGTAGGAGGTTCAAACCCATCCGCCACTCCTTGGAAATGCTATATTGTTGTTAAGTGCTGTGGAGTTGGTTTTAATTCACAGTGACTCTGTATAGGGTTTCCAAGAAGTGGCCCGAGGAATGGTGAGTGTGAACTGCCGACCTTGTGGTTCAAACCTACCTTGCAGTCCAGTGCCTTACTCCATAGCGCCACACCAGGTCAGAAATGATTCTACAGCACATATAACAACAATAACTATATTAAAGAAACACACTAGGTTTAGTATCTGGCCACAGAAAATAAAATTTAAAAATCATGAGTAGAAATACAATATGTGGAAAA